TTTCTTAGCAATTTGAATTTAAATTTAGGGCCCTCTTAAACTGACTTAATCTATGACAGATTTTTGTCATTTAATCAATCATTTTTACCTATGCGTGAAAGGAAAATATAAACAGAATAAATTAACTTATGCTTTAAACTTCTTATTCAGAGTCCAAGTTTTTAGATCCCCTCTTCATCGGAATTGTCAATGTGTAGAACTTTTCTCAAAATATTGTTCACTAGGCCATCGAGAGCATCAGTGATTTAGTATTTTGTAAAATAGTTCTCCATGTTATTGTTTCTTTTGTTCCATGCAGCAAACAGCTGTGCTGCAAGTTTTGATGTTGGTAGGCTCTCAATCTTACAAAAAAACATCAAAGGAGACAAAGAAGACTCTAGCCTTTCTCAAATCATCTTTATTGTTTTTAACTGAAATGATAAGACATTGTAGTCGTCTGGCCATGCCACCTGCAAAAACAGTCAATATCACGGCACTGTGATATTTTCCCAGGACACTTAATTAACTTTTGACTAAGTTTACAAGCATACAGACAATGAAATTCTTACAACTGCTGCTTGGCTACCAACATTTTTAAGAAACCGTCAGTTATTAAGATGCATATCAATTTGTTATAATGAATAAAAAAATGTATGTTGTGCAATTGGTAAAATAAGATATTTTTGGTATCTGTCCCCCTCTGAACCTCCCCATTGGCAGTCCTTATTCCATTTCTTACCATTTTACCTAATCTTCCAGCTTTTTTGCCAGCCCATTTTTTGGACTGCCAACAGAGTGATTTTTCTATATCACAAATCTAAACACGTGTCATTTTCATACTTGATGCCCCTGATCGCTGACATGATATAGAATAAAGTCCTTTACATCCCAATAAGGCATAATTGGCCCTCCAGGCTCATCCCTTTTGACCTCTCCTGTCTACTTCTACTACCTCCAGCCATCCTGAACTCCCTGCAGATCCTTGGGGAAATCACTCTAATTCCATACTTCTCTCTTTTTACTCCACTATTCCCTCTTCTGGTACTGGTCTCCTCACTGAGTAGCACAGACCAACACCGACTTGCCTCTCAAAGAAAATGTGGACAATGCACTCATTGATTGATCCATAACATAGACGTAAACACCTCCTCCCATCTCAACCAACCGCCCTCCCCTATAACTTGAACATCAGGGATTCCCAGCAGGAAGACAAGGCGGGTGAGGGGAAGAAAATAAAATTATGGCTCCTCCCTCTCAGGTGGGCTTCTCAGTCCCTGCATGGGTGAAAAGAAAACATTTGTTACTGACAGAGGATGTGCTACTTTTTGGTTGAACTGGGGCAGGAAAATGTCTGAGAACCATTGTTCTAAGTCTTCTGTCAGAGCCCCTGTAAAACTGCCTTCTGTTTCTTTACAGGCAATGTCCCTGCTGTAATACATATTTCAAATCAAGACACCAATCTTATTCATCTCGACTTCCCCTGAACCAACTCTGGCAGGTAGCAAAGATGAACAAAAAGTAGACGTTAAAGTGAATGGGCCTTGGCACCAGAGGGATGTGACAGGAAATAAACCATGGTCTTGGTTTGAGATTTAGATTTTTATCTTTGAAATAATACCTGGAAAGAGCAAGATAGAGGCCTAAGGAACAGGGAGAAAGTCAGGGACCTCACACTATAAAGGGTTAGTAGGGAAAACCTTAGTCACAGGGAAGAAGATAAAAGCGTAGTATGTACTAGTATGTAAATATTTTTTAACCTCTATGAGTCTCAGTTATCTGCTATGGAAAATGGGAAAAAAAAAAATTTGCCTTACAGCCTTGCTGGGAGCACTGATTGAGATGATACATATAAGTAGATTATGTACCGCGGGTAGCAATCATTTTAACAGAGACTTGCACACACAGGAACAGTTCTGAAGCTGATTGTACAAATGCTGGCCCACTGCTGCCCAGGGTATTCATTAATACATTCCTCCAAACCAAGGAACAGATTAGTAACAGAGCCTCTGGCAGACATGAATGTGTAGGTAGCTATCCACCTAGAAAATTAAAAGAAGAGAAGGGCAGAATGCCAAAGTTGTGTTTGCACCCTACATTGTATTTTGAGCTCTGTTAATTTCCTCTTTTGACTCAGCTTTGGTCCAGACATCTTCCTTCTGCTAATCCTTGGTTAGTACCTTCGCCCTGATGATACTACTTCTTGGTGGGACTAATTGCTTGCCTCCTCCTTCTCTAAAAGCCTAGTCCTCGTTATTAATATTTAATTTCACATCAGACAAGAATCTCACAGATGACTCAACCAAGTTTATTTTTCTGTTAACTGTAATCTCTGAAAAACACCACTTTTATCTTCTCACATATTTTTCTAAGCCCTGTCTCAAAAGGGAAACAAACTTCTAAGAATAAAAGTCCTGCCTAGTATTAATGATTCCGGACTCCACCATCTTCTCTCCGTTAACCCCTAGATTCTCTTAACTGTGGCCATAAAGCAGGATGTTTTCCTTTCTAGGAAACTGCACATAGTACTCTAAAGTAACCTTGATGATCTCTTTGGAGGGAACCATATTACAGATCAACACACCATCTCTCAATGAGACCAGAATGGCCACAGTTCCTCTTGTCTTGGAGTGATACTTCATTCCTTGGTTGAACATAACATGAAATAATTGGCTTGAGTTCAGAGGCCATGGTTGTGTGAAAAATATATAAAATTATGCTCAGCAGAACAATGATGTTCATGCCTGAGAGCTAAAAGGAAAATGAAACCTAAAGTACAGAATATTCACATCTTTCATCTTGCTTATTCTGCACATGTATCAATAAAATAGTGAATTGGCATGGTGAATTTCTCATCATTTCTATATGTCTTCCTTTCTCTCTATCTGTCTTGTTTTCCCTGTCTGGCTTTCTCTAGTAAATATAGTAAAATTTTCTCTAGTAAATCTCTGTGAAGTGACTCCATGGAAGCAGGCAAGGAACACATCTGTTCGGCTGAGTGCCTGGAACACAGTGGGTATCGATAAACAATTTTTAAATGTTCTTGAATATGTCCACAAACATGTCAGCACTTTCAAGCTCATACATCCATTTTAGAACCAATCATTTTTCCTGCAAATTTTTTTGGATGTTTCCTGTTAATTTCTCCATTTTGTGTATCAGCACCATTTGTGCAAAGAGGTTTAAAGTACTAAATAACAGCTAATCCTAGCTGTAAAATTGAAACAACCTATGAAATGATATATTCCAACATTCTTGTACTATAGAGATGTGGGAACAGGACTGCAAAGAAGATATAAATACTTGCCCAAGATACCCAGGTTACTGATAGCGAGCTAGTTCAGGGTCTGGAGCGTCACTGCAGTCCTCTTTCTTCCCTCTCCTTCACCTCTAACATCCAAGGAGTATCGGGCCTTGTCCATTTTTCTTCTCTCTCTCTTTCTCATCCTCACATCCTCTCTCATTTGCATCTTCCTTTACATTTTGATCACCATGTATACTTGCTGTGAATTTTATTGTTATGCCTGAAATTCTTTTTGGTGACTTCCTAAAAATTAATTTTCCCATCTCCAGTTTCTCTCTGCTTCAATTCTTCCTGAACAAAACCACTGCTTCCATC